CACACAGAGTAAATCTAATTCAGTGATGGCCAAGACTTGGCCACTGCTGATCTCCCGCATGGGAGAACACTGCAAGAAGCAGATTGAGCATCAGTTTTACAGCACTGTCATCAAGACCACTCAGAGAGAATCGACAACACAAAATACATTAACCATTCTGAGTCCAATCCCTCTCACATGACAGTTTTAAACGTTTTAATATTCTTCTGAAGCTTGTGTTCAAATACATTATCTCCTTTGAATATGCTGATGAGAACTTAAGGAAACATGCAACAGCACTGTGAATTCAGAGGACACCAAGCTATGCTGTCCAATATGGTATCCACAGCCACATGGGGCTATTAAGCACTTGAAATGTGGCTCATTCAAGCTGAGATGTGTACACTTTCTAAAGTGCAAAATCTACACCAGATTTCAAAGACTTTTTATAAAAAGAGTACAAAGTATCTCACTAACAATATTTCATACTGATTACACATAAAGTATATTTTGATAATGCTGCGTGAAAGAATACATTATTAAAATTAATTTCACCCACTTTGTGTTTCATCATGTGGTTATTACATTTAAATTTACATTTGTGGCTCATATTATATTTCTGTTGGAAAACACTGAATTAGTTCCCTTCGGCAGTTTAATCATTGCACTGATTCATGGTGAACATCCAGGTGACTAAAAGACCCTAATCACGATTCTCCCTTCTAGCTTTAGTAGTCTATTATTTTAAGATTTTACATTTTTCTTTATTAAATTTTAGCTAGCTTGTTCAACTTGGCCCACTAATTCAATCTATTAAACAATATTTGCATTCTGAGTAGAATCTGGCTTACGACAGGTGATCAATAAATATTTGTCAAATGAAGTTTGTCATCCAAAGCATTTGGTATCTTTCTTGGCTTCATGTTCTATATATAATGAAAGTGCTTGCCTAAATCAAGAGTTCTCATTCAAGCCCCAGTAGAGACCTCAATTCATTATCGGTGACCCTTTGAAAAGACTTAGAAACTTACATGCTTCCTTTGCCTTTTACAATATAGGACTTAACAGCAGTTATCTTATTGCATTGCTCTACATTTAAACATCTTGAGGGAAGATCCTTGCTTTTTTAACATAATTTTCATGAGTTCCCAGCACCAGATCTGCACTTAATGCAAATTTGACAAATATAGAACACCAATAAATAGTACTATCATTCAGCTCCAATTTCTACCATATTCAAAAGAACACCTTGAGAAATTCAAATTTGCCATATGACAGTGTTTTCTTAGCAGTATTAGAATGAGGATTGCCTTTCTGGCAGGAATGTGGAAATCTTTCTATATTTTTAGTTAGTTTTCTCTCAAGAAAAAAGGGAGGCATGATATAAGGTGCAATAGAACTTGAAGGTTCTAGCATAAGACAATAGGAGCAATATTTAATAGTATTTAATTAGATAAGAAATAACTTAAACAGGGAGCTATATATAGTTCCCCAAGGGTAAATTATTGGAACTGAATTCTCCTTCAGAACTACTGGAACTATAGCTTCATCCTCTCTGAATAGCAGCATAGAAGGAAAAGAGGAGGGGTTTTCAAATGGGGTCTAGATCTTGCATTTTCATTTACTAGTTATACAAATCCCTGAACTTCTTTTAAGCACAATGGAAACTCCATGAGGACAGGGACAGTTGTTTACCTGTACCTCTCGTGCTTGGTACATAGTATGTGTTTATTACTTTCCAAATTAATGAAAACCCAATCTGGGGAGAAGACCTATACTACCAATCTCACAGCTCTGAGGATCAAAAGGGACAATGCATATAACCACAAACCATAATGGAGCAATACAAGTATTTTTGTTCTTTTTCTCATTTTGTCATATTTCCCTCTTTTTGCTCCCATTTTTTCTCTGACACTCATTACCTCTGCCTTTTTAACCTTTTTCTTTCTTCTTGACTTACTCCCTCAACATTTCTTAGTTGAATATACACTAGTGATAATGTATACTTCTGAATACAATTCTATGTTCCCAGCTATTAATTTTAAAAGCAATGAAATAAAAAGTTAGTTTTACTGTAGGAGGCTGCTTTATCTTTTGTAGGTTAGTAACCGGCACTAGAAAAATGATTTCCACTCAGTCTTTTTCACGGGTTGTCTTAAGCATTTGACTTTAAGATCCTAACCTGGTAGCCTAGCTGAAGTCAAGCTGAGGATCATATTTAGCTTAAATGCTAGAAATTCCTATCTAAACCTATGAGACAATGTGAGATAATGCAAGAGATTTTGTATTGTACTCAGACACCAACAATTAAACTCAAGTTTAATTCATACTTTCCCCTTAGGACAAAAATACATGCAGTCTAATTTTCTATATCTTTATATACTCATTGCACTGTAAAATGATAAACTGCATTTGTCAAAACACTGTTAAGATACTGAACTGTCTGCTGAGTAAAAGAGGAAATAGTGTTTCTAACTATTACTTTACTGATAAAGTTATTTTAAGTGTTTGAAGATTGGTCACTGCTAAATTACCTCATTGACTAACTTAATTTGAGAAATATTGTTCTATGAGCAACATTCTGGTAAACAGAGGATTAGTCAAAGATTCCTCAGGGTTGAACACCACATTCTTACATGATGAACTAGCTTTCCTGTGAGAAAACATGGTTGTGCTCACTACAAAGTAATCCTACTTTGGTGATTAAATATGGGGCTGTGCCTTGCCTGAGTGTCACCACTGACCAAATCAATGACAGCTAAAACAGATACATGTAGTAAACGTCAGATGCCTTCTAGGAACTTTCCACATACTAACTCGTTACATTCTCACAAAACCCTGTTAAGTATTACTTCCCTCATTTTTATAGAAGAGAGGTTAATTACTTGCTTAAGGTCATATAACTATTAAGAAGTTAGGCAGGACTAAAAACTTAGGCACTTGGGCTCCAGAATTCACTCTCTCAATGACTATATTAAACTGCTTCTTCATTGTATACTCCAGATGTATGCTTTAAATATATAAAAAGTATGAGAGCATATTAATAGGATAGCTGAATATCAGCTATACTCCTGGAAGATTATTTTTTAGGTTCTCAATGTTGGTTGTTTTCTATTTCAAACTGGGATGCAGAAAAACTGGATTAAGTTAAGTAATTTGATCTCATTTCATTGGTGTTCTCCCTGTACATACATGATTAATTCAGTTAATCATAACTTCAATTACCAGAATATTCCACTTCTTATCATGAGGCAAAAAAGAAGCCTTTATATCCTTCTTTTCCATTACCTATTTAATGTTTGCACAAATCTTAAGTATACATTAGTGGGAATGTCTCTGCAGTTCTTCATATCACTGAGAATGTCTCACATTCATATCATTTATTTATTTATTTACTTTCAAACTCAATATACTTTCAAAGTTTATGTAAGTTTTCTTGTCAGTGAAATATCTTTACTGCCACTCAGTGCAGTTCTGTACACCAACCTGAAATGTACACATGCCAACGACCACGTAATTACTGCCACCATATGCAATTAGGTTTCCTGCATCCCCGCTCTCAAAGGGATTGAATTCTACCACATGCACATAATCTTCACAATCCACAGTGTAGGCAGCATTTCCTGTGGCATCTTGCTTCATCTTGTATGTCAAAACTTGAGTTGTAAAAATAAAATGGTTTTCCTCTGGAAAAGATCATGAAACTGTGGATTACAACACAGACACAGTTAGAAACTACCAGGTATTAGTTACTTTTAGCGAGTTAATCAAAATGAGAACATGGCATTGCAAATGCCACACAGTTCAATAAAATTTCAAAGTACTTATTTACATACTTTGTGAATGATACCTGCAGAATAAATCGCCATAAATTTCAGTCTGGATTTAAAACATATAGTGAGTACTTGAAGATGAAATCACTTTCACAGTAAATATATTCACAAAAAATTAAAGATAACATTTTCGGAGCACCATTTACAGATGCCATGCTAAGCATTTTACTGACATTATCACACCTAATATTTGCACAAACCTAAGAGGGAGAGGCTACTTATGGTCCCTATTTAACAGATGAGAAAATCAAAAGACTTGAGGTTAGCTAGCATGTCAAACTCATAAGCCAGAATTTGAAAGACTTTACAGTGTGTTAGACACAGAAGAAAACTAGAGAAGAAAACCACAGCTCCCTGCCTTGAAGATCACAATCCAGGGATAGTCATGATTGTGTGAAAGGTGCCATAAGCAGATACAAAATAGAGGATCTGGAGGAAGGTCTGCCAACATGTGATAGATAGTCTGATGTGCACTCTGGGCATCATGCCCAGGTAAGACTTAAGAATCCTAAACATTTTTTAATTGAACGCAGTTGGGCTCGGTAAGAACACATCAAATATTTATTTGATAAGTATTTACTGCGAATTAGAAGAGTCCCACCCCAGGTTGTCTATAAACTAGTAACTGTACGAGTGGGCATCGGGGACTCGACATTTCTTAAAGGGTAATCAGCAAATGAGAGGCCCTCAGAAGCATAGAGGTGGCAAGTGCGAAAAGATTTTAGGTCAGGAACCTCGGTTCCCTATTGCTCATTGTAGTGCCCAGTCTCATTACATTTTCAGGATCTCACTATACACGGAGGCTGGACTTGCCTAAAACTGGAAAGGCAGAATAAGGAGGAAAAGAGAAAAGAGCACCGACGTCTCTCTCCCAAAGCCCAGCAAGTCCCGCAAGACCCCAAGCCACCTCCCTAAGTCCGAGATAGGAGGTAAGACCGGTGGAAAACGGCCCGGGGACGGAAGGAACTCCAGGGAACAAGGTGGGAGCCCGGGACCGCAGGTAGCAAAGCTGCGTTCTTTAGGGTTCCCACGCGATACGCACCGGAGGGCTGAGGGAAGTGGCCCGCTGGAAAGCAGATCTTCGCAGGAGGTTGCGGAGGCGCGCTCAGCCTCTGCTTCCGGGTCAGGGGGCGTGAGCGGCGATTGGCTCCCGGGCCCTCCCGCGAGATTTAAAATGTAGCCCGCGACGACTCGAAAGCCTGCAGGACTCCTACCGGTAGGACCTTTTGTTCGGTTGGGTCTGCACTTTCCGGGTCCTTCCCGAACCAGGTGAGTCTAGCTTTTCCCTCGCCCTCCTGTCACACCCTAAGTGGTGTTTCACGCTGCGGCCTACGAAGTCTTTTCGGTGACAGCAAAGCACCATTGTTTGTGCAGTGGCTTCATACTGGAGCCTGGTTGGGTCTGGGGCTGTTGAATAGAGTTCACAGTATCTAGTAATGGATGAGCTGGGAGTGCCTGAGGATCATCTGCCGACTGGAAGACAGGCCCGTAGAGGCCTAATTAAACTCATTAGTTAGGCAGGATACTAGGGTTTGAGCCCCAAGATGTGCGCGGACTCCAGTAACGCTACTCTTGCCGTCTCCCTGTTGTATCCTCCCAAGCAACATTTAGGACCTGCATTCTGACAATGACAGAAGCAAAGACTGCCCTTATTTATTGAGCTCCTACCAAGTGCCTACCACTAGGTGGATTATTTACTTGTCCCACTAACGTCTCATAAGTTTATGAGGTAGGAGATATCTCACGTGTTTTACACATGAAAACATTTTTGTTCCGAGACTTGTAATACCGGAGGGAGTATAGTTAATAAATGGGGGAGCTTGGATGTGTGGGTCCTGGTTTATCTGACTTAAAAATGTAGTTGTTTTAACCATTTCACACTACCTCCCCAGTGACAATTTCCTGTCCCACAATATTTGCTCCAGTGCAGCTTTGAATTCATTTTTTAAAAAACAAGTATTATTATTGCTGCCGCCTTCTACTGTTCTTGTATAATGCAGCCTGACATTCAGAGTGCTTGCATGTTCATTGTCTCATTGACTTCTCATAACTCTCTGGAAGGTTTTATTTCTGTTTTCTTTGTGATGACACCTCTACCCAGGCAGTCATGTGTAGAGAGTATTGCATAGTCACAGCCAGCCAGCTACTGGAAGAGCTGAGCCTAGCCAAACGTTGGCAAACCAGCGGCACTGCCTTTTTGGTGCAGCCAGTTCCTGAGCTAAGAATGGATTTTACATGTTTGAATGTTGACAAAACATTTTAAAAAGAATAATATTTTGTGACATGTGGAAATTATATGAAATCCAAATTTCAGTTTCCATGAAGTTTTGTGGAAGCACAGTTCCACTCATTTGTTCATGCACTGTCAATGGTAATTTTCATACTGTAAGGTCAAGCTGTGTAGTTGTGACAGAGACTGTATGGCCTGCACTCCTCAAGTATTTACTATTTGGTTCTTTCCAAAAACTGCTTTTGATGAGACTGTTGACTTTTATATGCTCCAGGCACTATCCCAAAAGCTTAGCCTATATTTATGTCATTTACTTTTCACAAAACCCTGTGAGATAGGAACTATTATTTTCATTTTCAGTACAAGGAAGTTGAGGCAGGGAGGGGTAACATAACTTGACTAAGATTTCACAACTAACAAGTGGTGGAGCCAGGATTCAGTACAGTCTAATTCCAGATTAGTCTTCATTCTTAGCAATCTGAACCCATAGTACCTTTAATAATGCCCGTAAATAGTTTACTAAGGTTTATTTCAGGCAATTGTATCACTGAAGCTTTACTTCATTTTTTTTTCTTTCAAGAGATGAGGGTGATATTTTGAAGAGAAATATAACTCTTAGCTATTTACTAGGACTTACATTCGTAGAGATGTTTTAATTTGTAGACTTGTACCCGTATCTTTAAAATGCCTCACTGATTATGCCTATAAATTATTTTGTAAATGGCATATGCCCACTTTCTTGATCATACAAACCCAAGATACTTACGCCACATAAAAAAAAGATGATTCTGAGTTTATGTTTATGTTACATAAAAAAAGAAGAAAAAGATAACAGAAAGAGGGAATAGAGAGATGTCTATAGTAAAATACCGAAAATAAGATATTGGCATATGAATATGCTGTAGATTGGGATTCTTAAAAAAATATAGGGGGAAAAATATTTTTGCAGCCATGTCTATAAACTCCGAGAAAGGAATTGGTTGCCTTATATAGGCTTGGGTATGTAAAACATCGGAACTACATCTAATTATTTTAAAAGGCTTTTGTCTATCAGAAGTTATGTGATATAGGGATTTAAGAGCACAGCTTATGGAGTTAGGCATCTTGGGTTTAGGTCTGACTGACATATGAACATCACTTCAGATGTAAAATGAAGATAATAGTAGACTTTCCTCATAAGTCTCTCATGAAGATTGAATGAGGTAATAAATATTAAGCTTTTGAAAAGTATCTGGCACCAAGAAACCTCCTAAATATTTCCTCTTTATTGGTTATCTATTACTGTGTAACAAACCATCTGGAAATTTAGTGACTTTAAAACAACCATTCACTTTATTTGCTTATCATTCTGTGGATCAGCAGTTTGGGCTGGACTCAGCTAGGGGGTTCTGCTGGATTTTCCTGGGATCACTCATGTGGCGGCAGTTCATCTGGTGTGTTGATTGGGGCTAGAGAGTCTAAGCTGGCCTCTCTCACATGTCTGTGAGTTGGTATTGGCAGCTGGTACACCTTAGTTCTTCTCCATATGGCTTCTCCAGCAGGCTAGCTTGGACTCCTTCATGTGGCAGTCTGAGAGTAGCCAAGAGAGAAAGAGCTGAAGCTGTAAGGCATTGTGTCAGGAGGCCCCCAAGATCACCTCTAGGTTCCAGGATTGGCTAAGAGGACTCAGAGGGCTCATTATATAGTAGTACTTGTGGATATAATTTCTTTTAACAAAAAGATAGTAGGCAAATCAGCACAGGGAGAAAGTGCATGGGGTGAAATCCAGGGGAGATCAGGCACATGCTTCCAAAGTCCTCTCCTTGTGGAGTAACCCAGGATGTCCTTAATTCTCCCAGCAACAGGTTGTGACAACACATGCAAACTGTTTATCAGGGAAGCCCTTTAGAGACTCAGTGCCCAGGGTTTTTACTGGAGGTTGAACATGTAGGCATCCTCTATGTTCCACTATTCCAGACTCAGAAGGAAAACATTTTTCAGCATAAAGTATATTGTTTCTACAAACAGTTTAGGTGCAGTGAGCTGCTCTTGCTGGAAATCCTCTTGAAATAGAAGTTCTCAGATGCCAGCCAAGGACTAACCTTGTAAGCAGGTCTTTAAAAGGATAGCAGTCAGGCCTGCTGTATTAACGTTTTTGAAGTCTAGACTCAGAACTGCCATGATGTCATTCTTGCCACATTCTGTGGGTCAAATCAAGTTACAAGGCTGACCCAGAGTCATAAAGGGGGTGGAAAAACAGACCACCTTTTTGGGGGCAATATAGGAGTGGGAGGAAATTGGCTTTTTTTCCCCTTGCAATCTACCACAGATGCTACACCTATCTCAAAAACAAACATTTTCAAAATATAGGATTCATTAGCTATGTCTTTACTTATAGGTTTGCAGAATTTGTGTATCAGTTTTGTGTGAATTTTCATATTGAGAGTGAATTTTGTTGTTTCAAAAAAATTGGCTTAAGAAAACTAGAGGAAACTCTGATAGGGCAGAAGTTGTATTATTTTGTTTTCCTAAATTTAATTAAAAACAATCTTACTAAATAGAAAATGACCTCTTGTTTACTTATTTTTCTCTAGCTCTGTGTCCTTACATATGTTAAATATTAATTTCCAATTAAACTAAGGCTTTTTAACATTGCATTCTGTCCTACTTTAAGACGATGGCTGGGCTTAATCAGAAGTCTGTCTTGGATATGATTAAAGAGTTCAGAAGGAATTGGCACACTTTTTGTGACTCTGAGAGAACTACTGTGTGTGGTGCAGACTCCATGCTCTTGGCATTGCAGCTTTCCATGGCAGAAAACAACAAGCAGGTTAGTAGACAGTATTCGGGTTAACTTTTTTTTTAAGTGGATTTTGATTGTTGTGCATTTTAATAACCTTAATTATATTAATTTTTTGGCAAAATATTCCCCCTTATAATATCAGCATACTGTTTTTACAAATGCTCCTGGATGTCTGTTGTCAAAATATTATGATTGGATTTGAAATAATTTGTTTCAAAATTAAGGCTTTTGTATGTATAGTTTAACATAGGACATGCACATTTGGTATTTAAAGTCTTAAGATAAATGTGACTATTATGGTTAAAATTTTTTATTTTAAAGATTTTCTTTCTTTAAAAAGTTGTAGAAAGCACACATAAATAACGTTTACTTAAATGTAATTGTAGTATTTTTCGACTAATTTCAGACTCTGGTATAGATTAGTTATTCTGAAGCCAGACTACGAATCAGGGCTATTTGGGAGGGCTTTTAAAAACGTCTTGGCTTCTGTACCCCAATCTTGGAAATTGTTTCTCCTAATCTACACCAGGTCCCTGTAAATTGTCTTTTTTTAATCTTTTAATCTTTTTTTATTCTAAAGTGATTCTTGCATAGTTGGCTTGGACCAAACTGATATTTGAAATGAGCTGTATGTAAAGGGTTAAAGGTATTCAGGTGAGAAAAGAATGAATGTAAGCTGCAGTGGCAAGGAAAGGCCTCTTGGATTTCATGTAATATACTTAAAGGAAGGGAAGTCTTTTGATGGGAAGGATTTAAAGAAAGGATGAAGGGTAAGGAAAGTCAGTTCAGAAGAAGCATCCATGAGGATCAAAATCTTGATCATTTGAAGATGGTAAGGGACCTTATGACTCGGGAAGAAGAGTTTTGAAGAGTAGAATGGCTTCATTGGGTCTATTGGGCTGGACAGGGAAAACATTCTGATGAATTATTTTAATCTTATATGTTAATAGTTCCCAGAGTTTAAGATTTTATATACTAGTATAATTTCCAAAAATAGTAGAAACTGACAGATTTGACTATTTCTCATGTCAGCAAGTAAGGCCACTGAGGAAAAATAGTTACTAGAGCCATCATTTTGAAAAAAGGAAGTATATTTTAACACCTAAAAATTAAGAATTATGTAATATTAAAACATGAGATAATCTTTGCATGGGTAGTTGGCAGTTTGACATATTTAAAACAATATATATCAAGATAAATTTTGAACATAGAAAAATGTTGGCAAATTCTCTTATGTAGTGTCATTCTTTCAACACATATTTATCAAGTTTTTACTATGTTAGACATTATTCTAAGCATTAGGAATTTAGCACTGAAGGAAATCTCTGCTCTTATGGAATTAATCTGGTGGGGAGAGACAGATAAAACTCTGATAAATAAGATATTTAGTATTTTAGGTCATAATGAATGCTACAGAGAAAAATAAAACGGAGATGCAACAACGGAGTGTGTAGAGTCTGGGGTGGAGGAGTTACTGCAGGAGGCTGGTCAAGAAGACCTCATTTAGAAGTTACCATTTGAGCAAAGATTTGAAAGAGAGGAAGAAGGAACGAGTCCTGGGAATTTTTGTGGGAAGGGACTACCAGGCAACGGGAACAGCAGATGGAAGGGCCTTGGGATGGAAATATTCTGGCATATTTAAGGAACAGCAAGGGGACCAATACAGCTGTTTATATAAATGTTAATTTCTTCCATCTCTGGCTCCCTTCCACAGATGTCTTCAGTCCCTCCTGCCTCCTTTTTCCCCCCTCCCTTCCCTTCCCCTCCCTCTCCTTCCCTTCCTCCATCTCCTTCCCTCCTTCCTTCCTCCTTCCTTCCTTCCTTCCTTCCTTACTTCCTTCCATGTGCCAAGTATTGTGATAAGTGTGGGGGTTAAAATGGTGAGCAAAACCAGATATTACTCCTGCCTAGCTTATTCCCTAGTAAGTGAGGCAGACATTAAATACAGAATAATTACACGTAAATGCAAAATTATAGCTGTGAGAAAAGGTATATGATGTTTTGAGACCAGGGAGTTGATTAGGTTGGAAAGGTCAAAGCTGAGCTCTCAAAGCAGGAGAAGGGTTAGTGAGGCACAGGAGTCGGGGCAAGATGAAGATGATGGAACAGCATATGCACAGGCCCTGTGGTAGGAGACTGCAGATAGAGCTTGAGAAAATGCTGAGTGCGTGGCGATGGTGGTTTCATGTCCAGTTTGTGTGTTCCTATTTTTTAATCAGTCATTGTTAAAAATCAATTTAAGCTTCCAGAAAAGTTAGAATAGACACCTAACTCCTGTATGACCTTCACTTAGATTCACCAATTAGCATTTTGCCACATATGCATCATTATTGTTTTTCTATTATTGTATGTGTATGTAAATATAAATATATAAGTATTCATATGTATATATTGTATGTATACATAAAGGCATACATATTACTACTCTTTATGAACCATTTGAAAGTAAGTGGCAGATATCCTGAACCTTTATCCCTAAACACTCTTGGTGCTGTACATTCTTTGGGTTTTGACAAATGTATAATGACAGATATCCACCATTGTAGTAGTGTACAGAATAGTTTCACTGCCCTCAAAATCCTCTGTGATCCACCTGTTTATCCTCCCCTTTCCTCAACCCCTGGCAACCACTGTTCTTTTTACTGTCAACAGTTTTGCCTTTTTCAGAGTATCATATAGTTGGCACCATATAGAATGCAATCTTTTCATATTGGCTTATTTCACTTAATGATATGTATTTACGTTTCCTCTGTTTTCATGGTTTGATAGCTCATTTTTTTTTAGCAGTGAATAATATTGTATGGATTATCAGTTTATTTAGCTATTCATCTTGTTTTAGCTTTCTTTCAACCTGTTAATGTGTCCATTTAAAAATTCTAACAGATGACATACATTCTTTCTGCATATTGCTCTTATCATCTGACAGTTGTTTTCAAGACCTTCAGGTACCGATAGAAAAGTTGGTTTTATTTTTTCATTTTAACAGTCATCCTGTTAGGCTGACTGTTAGACATTTTATTCATTGATAGTTTTCATCCATCAAATGATGGGCTGTTTGAAGTTTTTTGGTATTACACACAGCTCTGCATTGGAAGGAGATGTCTGTGCACTGATCAAGAGGTTCTCCCCAGACCCAGCATGTCATGTGATAGGTCATCTTTAATTTGACTTGATACTACCATATTGCTCTTCAACTCTGCTGTTACAATTTACATTTATGTTAACAGGGTAGGAGAGTACCATTCTTATCTCTTTTTCTACATTAGATATTGTCAAACTTCATTAGAAAAGAGAAAAAGTGGTATTTCATTTTCATTTTTCTGATAACCAGAACATTTAAACATCTTTTAAAATGCTTATTTGATCATTAACGTCCTCTTCTTAAGCTGTCTGTTCATATCCTTTGCTTATTTTACTGCTGATTTGATTTTGTCTCTTTCTGACTCTTTGAAGGAGTTCTGTTTGTATTTTAGATAGTGTCTTAGTTATACATTTTGTTGACATCTTCCGGTGTGCTCAATTTTACTCACTTTCACTAAATGTACTTCTCTTACATTGCTTTACCAGTATTCCTATGCCAGGCATATTATATGAACAAGTACTCACTGGACATTTTGCCTTGATGTCCCAGTACTGTCTACACATCAGTTTTTTAAAGTAGATCACATTGTTTGCTCCTTTATACTTCTTATTCATACTTTCTTATTCATAATCTTAGTTTCAGTGGTATTTACCATTATTCACTCATTTACTGAAGCCAGACACCCTAGGGTCATCATAGAATCTCTTTCCTTTGCTCTCCATTGTAATCCATATCCAAGACTCCAGTTTAAATCCTGAGCATTTAAAAAAATCTGTCCTTCTTTAGTAATTTGAAGAAATGGTACTAAGTCAAGTAATAGATTCTGAGGATACTGTGTAAACAGAATAGGCTAGCCAAAGGTTAAACCTTGGTGATCACACACTGGAAAACAAGGAGAGAGAAAAAGTGAGGCTGTTATTAAGAATCATTATTGTATTGTGATTGAGGGCTGTTCTGGAATCCAACAGACCATGTTCGGATCACCTCCTATTGTTTGTTTATTTGTGGTGAATTTTTGAAAAATAAGTATATCAACAAGCTAGGTAGAATATATCCTGAGGAAAATTTAATTCTCTTTGTAAAAATATTGATTTATTGAAATATTCAATCCAAGTCACTTTTTCTTCAGGGAATGCCTATGTAGCATTCACTCAGGGTTTCTTTTTACTTGTTAATTTCCTACTAGCTAATTTACTGAATTCACTGTGAAAGTTCTGGCTCTGGGTGGGAAAGAAGAGGAGAGGTGACTTGCAGCTGAGCTTTTCACAGTTTGTGTATGTGCGTGCACGTGTGCAGTGGAGGTGGTGAGTTCATCACCACCGTTAGTTTTTCCTTCAACTCTCCCTGTGAGTCAGCTCAGTCACCCCCGAGTGCTTAGACTTTCACGTCACTCAGCAACATAAAACAGCATACAACATGTCTGCAGGTATGTTTATTTATTTATTTTCTTAAAGGAATTCTTGTTTTATTTATACATATATGAACTATTTACCTAATTAGAGCATGCAGGTATGTTTATAATCAGCATGTACTAATAAAAGAGTGGAGTCATTTGCCTCTATCCTTCACCTGTATTTTTCATCTGTGTTTGAGCTGTAGTTAGGTTCTTAATTCTCTGAAGTTTGATAACATGAGTCCCTAATGAATAGTCCCTACAACTGAATTTGATAGTAGAGTTGTTAGTCTGTCTATTGGCATGTTTGTTTTTTTAACTGCTTTAGTGGGGAAAAAGTAAAGATATATTAAATAATCTTTGAATTTTAGGTTTTTGGCATGTTTTCTGATGGGGAAGTTATTTTAGCTTAAATCATATGGTACCTCTAGCAGTTTTATACTGCTGGAAATTTAACATATTATAGATTCATTAAGGACTATTGACTTCATTCAATGTCAAATATCTATGACTTCATTAGGTTGCATAATATTTTAGCCTTTCCATTCTTTGGAATTGACTTCATAGTTTGAATCTGGCAATTACGTTATAAGGCTATTTTTCACTGTTAACATTTGTTAAGAATGTTAACAAATGTTCTGTTGGATGAAACAGATGAAAATATTAATTTTATAACTTCATGGAATGCAGTCACAGCACCTGTGGTTGTCTGTCAGATTTGAAAATGATCTAATAGTGACATAACCAGTAAGAAAAAAACATTTTTGAAGTATTTCATTTATCTACCACCCCATCCCCAACAAATAATTTTACTTTGAATAGAAAAAAGAAAGGCAATCGATATTTTCAATTACCTAATATTTATCAGGTGTTATTTAATCAATGCAATCTCATTTTATAACAAGGGAAACTAACTCAGATTTCAGTATCTTACCCAAGGTTACACAGCCAATTAATGCTCTTAAGTAGATCTGTTATCTTTTCTCTGTTGGTGACAACAAAAATTCTATTTAATTAAAAATATAGAGTTTTCTTAAAATTTTAAATAATTAGAAAAATAACTTTGGTAAAATATACAAAGTATAAGTGCTCTGAAAAAGTGTAACTCTGACTTTTTCTCATTTTATTCTTGTGAAATACAATCCTTATGTCCATCAGAGAATTAAAGCATTGAACATCTTGAACTTCCTTCTTGACATTAGCCAGCTGGCATGTTTTCCTAGAAAAACATTTTCTGATTTGACCACAGACTCTCTGAATCAGTTGTTATTGGTTTGAATAATAGAATATGCTGTCATGGTGGGCACCTGATCATGAAAACTGATATTTGGAGTGCATTTTTATTTGGATTTAAAATGTTTTTACAATCCCAGTATAAACACTGTTAATCTAGTCAAAACCCTTTCTCACAAGATCAAGAGCTTGCATAGTTTTCCTTTTAACTAGTTATAGTCAAGAGAATGAGAATAAATTGTGCATTTACACTAAGATAAATCTTTATTTTTAACATGAAGGATGTTATGCCAAAATAGTTTAGGAATTTTTGAGATAAAACAATTTAGTTTTGAAACTAAATAACTGGATTTACTTAACACATACTATTTGGAAATTTTATGGTGTATAACCCTTGTGGGATGGGAAATAAAGTATACAGTTTTTGGTGTAATGCTGAGAAATTACAAATCTGTCTTAGATTTTGGTTATGGATCCAAAGTTTGAGACTTACTGATTCTTTTTTTTTTTTTTTGTTTATTGAACTAGTTTCATGAAATATAATTACTTTTTATGGTTATGATCTAACGGTCCCTCCTGTATGGACAATAAGAATGGTTTTCTCAGTTGCCTCCATGTGGATAAGTATAGAGTTAATTATTTTAAGGCAGTTTGGACACCTTGTCCTAAATTTGGAGAGTAATTAGAAAATGTGGCTGATTTTTATAAAAGATGCAAATATATAAATTTGAAAGAGTCAGATATATAGAAAATAGTATATTATTTGGTTCTGCTTTATTTCTCTCTCTTATTCTTCCTGGCTAATGATGATATTACAGTTTAGTTCCAGTTAATTACAGTTCTATTTAAATACCCACCCACCTTTAAATGCAATTAATGGAAAGATCTTGGTATCAGCAGAAACTACTAACATATTAAGGGGACTTAACTGTAAGAACAACATAGTACATTTTGTAAAACCACATATGGATACTTCAAAATATTTGTTACTCATGCTTCATTGGAAAGATAGTAAGAACTTTCTGAATTAGGGCTGGTATTTTGGGGAAGGCACCATTATTAATATCTGGGATATTAAGTGGGAGTAGAATGTAATTAGTTTAAAAAACCCCAAACTTCAACATGCGCACTGAGATAATTCATCATGTGGATACTGAAGAAGAGAAAAAAGAACAATTTGCTTGATTAGTAACATCCAAGAACTTAAAGAAAGAAACGTGATTATGACTTTTTTAACACTTGTTTACAGTTTAGTGTGTCCATGAGCAGGAAAGAATCAATTCTTATCTGACCCAAAGTTTTAGCAATGTTATTTTGCTTTCCCTAGAACAGTAGTGATATTCAACATAATTTTTAAAAATTTAAGTTTTATGATTAAAACATACCAGACAAACACTTGGCATGTTATGGCATGAGGGAATTTACTATGGCATTGACAGTTTTGAATAAGAGATTAAAAATATTAACTGAAAGAACTAAGAGAAACTGAATATTAACAAAATCAAATGTTTCCCTATTTGTACACTATTGGTGGGAATGTAAATTAGTGCAGTTACTATGGAAAGCAGTATGGAGATTCTCAAGAAACTAAAAATAGAAATACCATATGACCCAGTAATTCCACTTATGGGAATTTACCCAAAGAAAACAAAATCACTAATGTGAAAAGATATATGCACTCTTATTTATTGTGGCATTATTTACAATAGCCAAAATATAGTAGCAGTCTAAATGTCTATCAATAGAAGAATGGATGATGAAAATGTGGTACACATATATAGTGGAATATTACTCAGCCACAAAAAAGAGTGAAATCTTGCCATTTGTGACAACATGGATGGATCTAGGGAGTATTATACTAAGTGAAGTCAGATAAATACCTTATGATTTTACTTATATGTGAAACCAAAAAAATAAAACAAATCAACAAAAGAAAACAAATACAAACCATGAACATGGCGAATAGACTGGTGGTGGCCACTGGAGGTAGGGAATGGTTGAAATTGGTGATGGAGGAAAATTAGTGAGAATGTTTGATATCTTGATCTGGGTGATGGTTACATGAGTGTATACACATGCCAGAATTTATCAAGTTGTACATTGAGATTTATACGTTTTATTGTATGTACCACATTTATATCTGTTTTTAAATTATTCCATTGCTCAACTTGGATGTTCATATCAAATACACAAGAATTCAATGTAGACTTCTCTAAACAAAATTCAGTTTGTACTACCCATCTCAGCTGTGTTCATGAATCTTCTGGCATCCAACTTAATCTTTATATTTTTGGCATTCTTTCTTTCAGCACAGTGGAGAATTTACAGTCTCTCTCAGTGATGTCTTACTGACCTGGAAATACTTACTACATGAGAAACTGAACCTACCAGTCGAAAATATGGGAGTGACTGACCATTATGAGGACATTAGGAGGACTTATGATGCTTTCTTAAAAAATAGTAATATGTTAGATCTGATCGATGTTTATAGAAAATATAGTATTTTGACTTCTAATTGTGAAAGTGATGCCAACATATCCCCTGTAAGTATTTTTATGAGCTATTCTATCCTAAATTATAATTTGGCTAGATTTATTTTTATTTTAAACTATAAGCATTTATAGTAACTTGTAAATACTTTTGCTTTGGGGACCATGTTAAGAATGAAAAATCTAGCTAACTGAAAGCTAGTCATTACTGGAAAGAAATATTGTGTGGTGGCAAATTTTGTTGAACTTTTGTTGCTGTTATCTGGTTGAAATATAAGAATAGCTTCTTATTAGATCAAAAATATTTTAACAAAGAGATTAGCCCCAAATGGATAATTTAAATGATTGCTATGACTGGATTAATAATATCATTTTTCTGAGGTGGGGGGTCAATTTGTGAGGATAGAATGATGCAATATATGTGAGATAATACACTATTCCGTTTTTGCACACATACATATTCATTGCCTATTTTTTTACTCAGTATAAATTTAAAAACGAATGGAGTAGCATCCCTTGCAGTTTGGTTTTATCTACATTAGGATTAATAAACTGTTTTAGAATATAGTTGGGTATATCTAATTTGTTTTAAAGTTGAATACACATGACCAGCAAATTAGAGCTGATGGAGGGATATGACAACAACTTTAATCCCTGAAAATAATAAGTACTCAATGGAAATATAAGGGTATACCTAAACATAAAACTTTCTAGATCTTAAAAAAAAAAATGTAAAAAGTTGTCACAATGTAACAGATGAATTCAGATCCAAATTAGAATCCTGAAGGTCAAGTACAATAAATATTTAAGACACAAAGAAAAAAATACAAAGAAATTATAAGGGAAATGGTAAGAAATTTAGAGATTAGATCTAGTGAATTAAACATACAAATGAGAGGATTTCCACAAGGAGAAGAAGGAACAGATGCAAAGGAGGCCATGATTAAATAAATAATTTGTTATAACTACTTTTGTTATAATAAATATTTCCCTGAATCAGCTGAGTAAGAGTCTCTATGAAGTTCTAGTCTGTATTGAGAAAGGACCTAGGCATATTCTGGTAAAATTCCTGAACTCTTAAGATAAATACAAGTTTTCTGGCAGAAAGAACAAGTTATTTTTAAAAAAACAAAAAATTAAATAGCATGTCCTGAAAGAAGAGGATAGTGACCTAAGAATCTTATCCTCAACCAAGATACTTGTCAGCCAAGTTGAAGGATTTTGTGAAAAAATGCAAAAATTTAAAGAATGTCATCTTGATACCTTACATGAAGAATTTACCTTTCAAAAGACTGTGATACAATGAGATATCACCTCACACCAGTAAGGATTGCCACCATCCAAGAGACAACCAACAACAAATGTTGGGGAGGTTGCAGAGAAAGGGGAACCCTCCTACACTGCTGGTGGAAATGCAAATTAGTTCAACCATTGTGGAAAGCAGTATGGAGGTTCCTCAAAAAGCTCAAAATAGAAATACCATTTGACCCAGGAATTCCACTTCTAGGAATTTACCCTAAGAATGCAGCAGCCCAGTTTGAAAAAGACAGATGCACCCCTATGTTTATCGCAGCACTATTTATAATAGCCAAGAAGTGGAAGCAACCAAAGTGTCCATCAATAGATGAATGGATAAAGAAGATGTGGTACATATACACAATGGAATATTACATTATTCAGCCATAAGAAGAAAACAAATCTTACCATTTGCAGCAACATGGATGGAGCTAGAGGGTATTATGCTCAGTGAAATAAGCCAGGTGGAGAAAGACAAGTACCAAATGATTTCACTCATATGTGGAGTATAAGAACAAAGAAAAACTGAAGGAACAAAACAGCAGCAGAATCACAGAACCCAAGAATGGACCAACGGTTACCAAAGGGGAAGGGACTGGGCAGGAGGGGTGGGAAGGGAGGGATGTATAATGTGGGGGAGGCATAGGGAGGGATGTACAACACAGAGAAGACAAGTAGTGAGTCTACAGCATCTTACTATGCTGATGGACAGTGACTGTAATGGGGTTTGTAGGGGGGAACTTGGTGAAGGGGGAGTCTAGTAACCATAATGTTCTTCATGTAATTGTAGATTAATGATAATATAATGAATTAAAAAAAAAAGACTGTGATAATTAAGCAGATGAACTGAAATAGATATCTACCTAGGAGAAGATGTTAGTGAGCAGTAAAACTTATGTGTATGCATTTAAAATAAGGATGGACTGGGAATATGTATGTATGCTAAAATGTAAGGCTTACACTAAGGAAGGTTCTGATACCAGTTTAGGATTCATAATAGAGAAATATGGGTCTGATCTAAATGCAGGGAACATGAAGGTAACCATTAATGCAATGGAAAAATATAGTATATCTTCTGAGGATAAAAATAGAATAGCTACTTATCAAATCAGTAAAAGTATAAATCAGTAGAATTAATGGTGTATCACAGCAAATATATTTTGATTTTTATGCTTAACTCAGAAAGCTTTATGCTATTATCTAGAGCCCTTGTCAAAATTTTAGGAACTTTTTACATTCTTAAAAACCACTTAAGACTACCAAGATTTTTGTATATAGGTTATATCTGTTGATATTTGCCAATAACTGATTTTCAATTGATCAGTATATTTAATATTAAAAAATAAACTTAACAGTTATTAAAAATATTGATAATAAGCCTGTTACATTAACATAAGTAACACTTTATGAAGGGTATATTTTTCAAAATAAGAAAATTGTGAGAATAGAGATATTGTTTTACATTTTTGCTAGTATTTTTAATGTCATGTGATAGAAAATAGCTGGATTCTCTTGTCTGTTTCTGTTTGATAAGTTGTTTTGATCAAACTATGTCAAGAAAATTTGGATTCACATTGAAATATAGTTAGAAAAGGAAGAACTTTCTGTATCTCCTAAAGGGGCTTTAGGGACCTCAGGAATCTTTGAACCATAGAGACCCACTGAACTGGTCTAGAATAATGTACTTTGCTTATAATTACATTTCTTATCACATTTCTTGAATGGGAGAATTAACACATTGTGTTTATTGAAAAATCTTTCAGTAAGAACCACAATGTGAGGTCTGCCTCTTCAAAATTTGTTAAATAGCAAATCCTTTTTTCAGTGATCTTGAATTTTGAGATTGAAAAATTGTATATATTGTGAATAACAAAATCCTAGCCTTTCTAGTTTTTTTTCCTTTTTCTGTTATGATTCACTCTTCATGAGTACCAGCTCAAAAAATCAGAATTGTAGCAAATGCTATTACTTTTTAAGAGGTATATATTGGTGTTATTTTAATTATAATTTTACACTAGCTGTGAGAGGAAGAATGGTTTGCAATCTCATTGAGTTTTGTTAATTCAGTTTATATCTTCCCTCAGGTTAACTCATCAGGAATGGTGTGTGTGTGTGTGTGTGTGTGTGTGTGTGTGTGTGTGTGTGTACCTATATAATCTGAGATCCTTTAGATTAAATAAAATAATATGGAGATGTTGAGTAGTATAGGAGAGTGAAAGCAAATATCTCTTTAATTTTAATAAAATAAGTTTATTTCCCTTGAAACTCTTATTTGTTTGAAATGTGCTGCTTAGAACACAAGATTTACATATATATATATATATATATATACTGAAATGAAACATTGGGCCTTAGGTAAGATATTTCTTAGTCTTTAATTTTATTCTTCCACAAGAATAAAAGGCTCCTATTAAATTTTCAAGGTCATCTTTTAACTAAATTTGTAAGACTATGAGCTCAGATACCATTGGAAACAGATTGAAGCATTTTGTTGTAGGAAGTTTAATTCCATGTGTATTTATTAACTGCCAACAAAGGTTAGGTAATATGCTGTACCCTGGAGCATCGGTAACACTAAGTTGAGCTAAACGTGAAATTTTTTTTATAGTTGGCATAGCATTTTATTAGTAATGTCCTGTATTTTCTACAGAGTCAACTACGAGATTTTCTGTCTGGCAGACAATGTATAGAAGATGATGAAGCTGATCTTCATGTGCCAACATCACCAATGAGTAAACACAACCATGATAATGAAAAGGTACTGATAAGTTGTGAGTAAATAAGCAGAATATGATCCTCTTCAAATCACTATGAATTTGATCATACACTGCAGTTACTGTTTTTTAAATTTTGTTTAAGTAAAAGTGTATTTCCAAATCATAATACTTTGGAGACTGACAAGAGTATGATAATCAGTTTCTTCATGGTTCTGGCCAAGGAAACAGACACTGTGCAAAAGTAGGTATCACTCTAATTATCAGAAAAGTGGTTGAAGGTCCAGGTTGCAAGAGTTCTTTGAATCTTTGTATTTGGTAAACTTGACAGTTACTGTTTTAAATGGTTGATTCTTGGGAGGGTATGTACAATTGAAAAATCTGTTCTGTACCCTTTGCAGTAAAATAACCAATTCATTATGAGTTCTGATAACAGGGTTTGTTGTGCAAACAAACCACAGAAAACTAGCTCCAAGTATAAGTCTGGTCTAATATAATTTACTTTCATCAGAACACTACTAGGTACCTAATTAAATATAGTAACTCCTCACTAACCATGGGGGTTATGTTTATGAAAGCTTCTATGTTTAATAAAATCACTATTGACAAGATGAAAGTTTGAAAGTATTGGAAAAAGCAGTAAAATTGTATTCAATATATCTAAAAATACGGTATGTAAAAAGGTCTAGAATATGCCTATTTCCAAATCCTGCTGCTCCAATTAGTTAACATATTTGATGAATCTTTTTCATTTTTCAGGAAATATTGCTAAGGCAGACTTTCCCATAAGTTCGATATTATACAGATAACACTTTGAAAAATATGTTTTGTCAGTGCCCTCAAACACCTGTATACATACTTCCTAGACTTACTAATGGGCTTTATATCTGCATCAAATATTTTTTCTGTTCAATTTGAAAGTTAAATTACTGATGTCATGACACTTAATCCCTAAAATTCCTCAACATATCATTTCCTGAAAATAAGGGAATGAACACAGTATCATTATCATATATTAAAAACTTAAGTATTCCCTAATACCATTTATTATCTTCTCCATTTAAATTTCTCCATTTGTTCCCCTAAATGGCTTTATGTCTCCTTAGATGCTTTTAATCTAGAAGAATATCCCTTATTCTTTTTTTTAATCTGATTAATTCCTACTGATATTATTTAACTTGTTCCTTTATTTTCAATAAACTGAAGTTACATTTAAAAGCTTTCTTAGATTGAGGTTTAACATTTTCTAACAAATTCTTCATAACTAATGCTGAGTATTTGATTTTGTACTCCTGAGTAATTAATTACATCAGGAGACACGAACTCAAATCGTCCTGAAGTGCCAGGTCTGTCCAGTGTAAAGACATAGTTTTCCCTTTGCTGTCATGAAAGATCGGCAGGGTGTTACTTTGGCACTGTGTAAATATTTCCCAACAACATTTCACCAAATGAAAAAAATACATGCATTAATGATGATGTCTGAATCAATTATTTCTTTAGAATTTGCAAAATGGTGAGTTTCTAATTCTAATATGTCTTTACACTAATTGGCTGCCATTTCTCAGTAAAGAAGAGTTTTATTTCATCAACTGGAATCAAGTACAGTTCCCTAAAAATGGCATGGTCATTACTTTCTCTTTTATTACTAGTTTAGGAGTTGGTGTTATAGATATTTGTAATATAGGTATACATACAGATTTTTTCCTATTTTTTCTATTTATCTTTTTAAAATGTGTGTATATATTGCTGTGGATGCATGGATTATTATTTAGTGCTTTGAAATCATTTGCAGTCATTCATCTTTGGTGCTGAAATAGAGGGTTCCCCTCAGTCTGGCTTCTGAATCTTTTTTATATGCCTTAGTAGTCTTTTGAGCACTTTCCTCTTTTCTGTATGAGAAAATATCACAAACCCAACTTTGAATGTTTCCTGCCCAGATGTGGTTCCTTTTAGTGATTGGTAACTATTTTCTCTTTCTTGAAATTAATATTTCACTTACATTCTTTTTTTTCCTTTCTGCTACGAATCTTGAAAGAATGCTTTCCAAATTGCCTGGTCTTTCCTCAGTGTTACTTAAGGAATATATTCATACATCCACAAGGTAGGTCACTTACAGAACTCTCCCCTTTGATGTATCTTATAGGCCCTATGGGGAGAAAACAGTAAGTGTTATTGTGCCTTTTAATTAGGAGGAATGAGCTACTTTGTAAAATGAGCTACATGTAAAATAACCCAAGAGTTTAGAATTGTGGCTTACAGATACAAAACATTGTCCTAAGGGATATCATGAAAAAAGATTATAGTATGTGGAAACTGATGGGTCTTCATTGTAAGCATATAGTTTTCCCATTTTAAAAAGCAATGATAATTTCATAGTGTTAATCCTCTACTTTTTATCTATTGCCCTCTTGGATTGTCTGAGAGAATTTCATCTATTGATTAGTTGATAGATTAGATTTAATAAGGAGTATTAAAGTAGCAGCCATCCTTTCAGCCATAGTTCTGTTACTTGTAGCTTTCTAATTTTTCTTTTTACAAAGTATTTTTAGAAGGCTATATATTTATTTTAAAATTTCAAAGTGATTCTTTGGGCTGCAGTCTTACAAAGATACATTTTAATCACCAAGTGTACTTGGTAATGCTATGCTAGAGCCCTCAAGTAGAGGAGTGGAATAAATGTGAGAAACCATTCCTTATTCTATTTTACTTCATTTTATTTTTCCCAAGGTACTAAACTATTGTTTTAGAAATTCTGAAGTAATGAAGGGAAAAATAGAATAAAGGCCCCAAAAGAAAATCATCAATTAAATAAAAGTTCTACCAGTATATTAGTTCTACTCCAGCTTTTCTTGTCACTAATTTGTGTGTTGGCAAAGAAAGTAAAGAATACCTGTATAAATTGTTAATCTTCTCAATTTAGAAAAACTGACTTTCTTCAAATTAAAACTGAATATGTGCATTTCAGAAATAATTAAGGGATAGGAAAAGAAACTTGGAATTGTCAGAAGGCTTAAATAAAATTGTTCAGCTTCTAACATATTGCAAATACTTAGTGGTATGGATAGAATTAGTTTATTAAACAAGTAACAGAAAGGTATCTCTATTTTTAGTATCTCGGTAAAAGCTTTAATCTTGTGGATTTTTTTCAATTTAGGCCCTTGCTTCTGGACATCATAACTGTATTTATGTGGAATGCTTTTCCAGAGAGCCTCTTTAAAACCCACTTGCAAATACAAGAGCAGGGAAACCATAACTGCCATGTTATCTAACCATAATGATAGGGAGAGATTTCCAATTGCAGCCATGAGTTAAAAGAAACACTCTAACTCTGAGGACTCCAAGATGATTTCCCTTGATATTTGCCTTACAGCACAGATCAGAAGGACAGAATTTGCTGGCCTTAAAGAGCAAGTTGTAGATGTGGGAATTTAAGCCCTGGTTTTGTCCCAGTAAAGGTCAGCTATATACATATTGGTAAATTCTCAGTATTTTTTGGTCAGTAGAAGCACAGTGAAACAGAGATTGAATGAAATTAAATGTAGAAAGAGTAAAAAAGTTTCTGATTACAATGTGATTATCACTTTTTTTCTCTGCTTTGATATTTGGCAAGTAACACTACTTCCCAAATGCCGAAGGCATAAAGAAGAGTTTTAGACAGACTGTTGTTTTAGACAGGCTGTTGTACTGTGAATTAAAATGGAAACTTGTGTCTTACAGATTCACATGAAGTGTTGTGATTTCCTTTTCCATTCTTTCTTTTGAACTTTTTTCAGAAATCAAATGGCCATACTGCGTTGGGTTTATTGAACTTCTGTTTTCCTGTTCTGTTGATCTGAGTGTCAGTCCCTTCATAAATACTATAGTCTCTTGACTATTGTAGTTGTACAGTAGTATTTAAGATAATTTCTTAGCATAATATGTTATTCCACCGTCTTCCGGCTTACATACTTTTTGATGAACTGTTAACCATGTTCCCCTGTAATGTGATGTGTCATTATACTCTGACCACTCTCAAATTTTTTCTCATTTTTGGCTGTCAGAGTTTGGTTATAATGTGTATAAGAGTGATTTTCTTTGTGTTTTTTCTACTTGAGTGGCTTCTAAGATATATAAATTAATGTTTTCCACCAAATTTGGGATGCTTTTAGCCATAATTTCTTCAAATATTTTTTCTGCTTTCATGTTTTATGAATGAGTTGTATTTAGAATTTGTGAGTCTTCTTTATATTCTCCCACAGATCTCTTTTGTTCTTTGTTTTTTAATTGTAGGAAAATGCCTCTTAGAAAATGATATATAAAAGATATAGTCCAAAGTATACATACCTGTATATTGAACTTCTTTAAATTCTCCCATAGATCTCTTTGGTTCTTTCTTTTTTTCTTCCTCATTTGTTTTCCACCTTCAGTAATTTGTATGGATATATCTCTAAGTTCACTGCAACTTTTTTCCACTTTCTTCAAGTTCCTGCTGAGCCCACCTAGCAAACATTTCTGTTATTGTACTTTTCATAGTATCCACTTTGTTGTCATTTCTTCTGTTGATTAATAACATATTAATTTATTGAACTCATTTTATTTTAGTTTTTGAATGTATTTATAGTGGCTACCTGTTGTTTTACCTGCTAAATCTAACATTTACGTCTACTTGATGATGATGAATTTTATTGGTATAGGACCAAATAATGCCAGTTGACTCTAAGCATCAGGGGACATCATTATTGGTTATTTAGTGGCAAATGTATGCATGGGAATGAGATTAGTTCCCATCAGAAATACAGACTTTGGACTATATCTTTTATATATCATTTTCTAAGAGACCTTTTCCAATTATGTTAGTTGTCATTTACTCATAAATTCTCATTGGCTACAAGCTGTTTCATGAGCAAGGATGTGTTAATTGTTCAACTCAAACTTTTGGTTTATATAGCAATTCCCTTTTCTCAAATTGCTGAGTGAGATACTGTCATTGAATGATCAAAAGTATTTTTACTGCATATAAAAAAGGTTATTTATGGATTTAGAACTATTTCAATAAAAAAATAATATCTTATTATACAGGTGCAGTTACTAGCAAAGAAAATTATCTACTCATATTTAAACCTGCTGGTGAATTCAAAGAATGACCTGGCTCTGGCTCATATTCTCAATATTCCTGATAGAGGACTTGGAAGAGAAGCCTTCACTGATCTGAAACATGCTGCTCAAGAGAACCATATGTCTATCTTTTTGGTATGAACATGTTACATTTTCAAGAGTTTTAAAAGACTCTTGAACAGTGGATCAATGTACTTTAATATAGAATTCTTGTAACTATGATAAAACAAAGTTTAAATTGTGATAGATATTCTAGCTCTGTATATGGTATTTTTATTTTTTACTATATCCTTTCAATTAGAACAGGGAGAATTTCTCTGAAGCAGTGTTACCCTATATGCGTTCTGCAGAGTGCTAGCCTTGTTAAATTCTCCATGAATAAATATTTCTAAAGGCAGAATTTCCTATTGAATGTTCCTTGAATAAAGAACAAAAAGTCTGGAAATAATAGGTACCACTATTGGTTGTATATAATTAATGTTTGTATATTGAAAGCTCTGGGAAGTTCTACCATTAAGAAATACATTTAATTAACTTTGTTATTTAATCTGTGGTTTCCTAAGTTATTTAATTTGGAACTTCTCAATTATTGAAATTTCAGACAATTTGTCTTTTTTTAGGATGTCCTGTGGAAAATACAGCTTGAACATTTCATCTTTGATGGAGATGCTTTTTTGTATAACTCATTTATGTATTTTTATCATTGTAAAGGCAAGGAATTTGAACTATACATGATCAAATAATTCTAAAATGTGAAAGGTAGGTAGGACTTAGTGATCAACTAGATTAACTTAATGATTAGTCTAAATCTTTAGTTTACAAGTAAAGAAGCTAAGGGTTGGAGAAGTTGAATTAATATCCCAACTTTGAATAAATCAGCACAGTTGACACTGAAAAGTCCCTTTGTTTCATATAACAACTCCTGGAGCCAATTGTTAATCTATGAAAGAATATATTCATAAACTAATTCTTTATAGTCAGTGATATACTCTTATGAATATATTCTTGTGTCCTTAATTTGTCTCCTAAATTGGCTTCTCAGTCTCCACTGTATTGATATAACCCTTGCTGGCATGAATTCTGCATGGCACCTGTTTCTTTGATTATTTGCATCTGAATCAGAATATGGTATGAGTCATAAAAACTGCTTTATTTTACCAGAAATATATAAATGTACCTAGTTTCATAAAGTTGTAGTTTTAACTTACAAAATCATTGGACATAACTAAATCATTTGTTTTAATTCATAGGTGGCCACATCATTTATTAGAACAATAGAGCTTGGAGGGAAAGGCTATGCACCATTACCATCTGATCCTTTAAGGACACATGTAAAAGGATTGTCTAATTTTATTAACTTCATGGACACATTACATGAGATTCTTGGAGAAATACCAAATCCCAGGTAATGACTTTTCGTAAATTAAAATTTGTGTTATTAAGCTATCTTTAAAACTTCATAGAATCAGAGGTAGATTCAAATGTAAGAGTTATTGAAATGATCAAGCATCAGACCAAACAGTACAGACAAACAAAATATCTGGATAAATAAATTATGATTACCATGACCTTTCATCCTAAATTTCTGCCTATCTGTGGTTCTAAAATTTTTGCCAAAGTCAAATGATGTGTTCAAATTAAATTTGGCAAGAAGGCGGCTTACCATTTATCTTTTTTTGGGAAGAAATAGGTTTTTGAGGACTGGAAATACATGAATAGATAATTTTTAAAAACTTTTTATCTAACAATACAGAAAACCCATACCAAGAATGAGTAAGGAAATTGACAAAGATGTGATGATTTCTATTATATTTCTATGATTTCTAATATATTCTATAGAATATGTTCTGTTTTCTGTTTTTTTTTTTCTTATACATACATCTTTGATTTACTTGGACTTTGTGATAAAAGTAAGATGTTATTTCTATTTGATAGACTCCCATTTATAATATAGGTATTAGATGGTGAGTAATTTTTATATTGATTTTGGGGTGGCAGCAGTGGGTTGTGTATGCTAGCAATCATGGTAGATCACTGTCACGTTGGTTGGTACGCCACAACATAGTACCAGTAAAAACAGGTGGTATTTCTTGAACACACCGTAAGTGTCAGACACTGAACCAAGCTACTTATGGGGATTATCATTGGATCATCACAATAGCCTTACATTGTAGATACTATGTAGATACCCAGTTTAGAAAGAAAGAAACTGAAGCACTGAGACTAACTAACTTTCCTTAGTCACATTGTTATTAAGTAGCAGAGCTGGAATCTGAACTTGGTCACTTCTATCCCTGGAGTCCATTTTCTTTATTACTGTATCTTATTCCATGAAACTTCATTTGAAGATTTCAAGAAGAATTTTATCCTAAATTGCATCCTTCTATCTTGTATGAACATCCACTACAAGAGGACTTAGAGTCAGTATCAGTGATATTCTGTACTTCCAAGTAATATATTGCTTGGCTGTTTTTTTCTGAGATAGCAGATAATTAATATTTTAACATTTTTTGCCAAGCAACATAACTTATCTTTTGTTAAATGCTATTACAGACTTATAGTAAAAAAGCCCTCCTCAGAGAAATTGACTTTAAATTTTTTTGAGTTTGTTTTACTTCATTTAAATGAAACTTTTGTGCAGCTATTTTTGATTTTTCAGTTTTAGGCATTATTTATTTACCTCCCACCATGGAAGATGAGGTTCTGCCACCCACTTGCTACCCTCCCAGCACGCCTTTCTTTTCTCCTTCCTTCTACCAGACACACAGTCACATACTCACACTTCTCTTCTTTCATCCTTCTAATATAGTTGTACTACATTTTCAAGTTAAGTCACATTTTAGAGCTTACATTATTATGGCTCTGTAAATATTGCCTACAGCTAAGCTATATGATATACTATGAATATACTTATTTTCTTGTATAAAGTTGTTTTCTAGAGTTAATAATTATCCGCCTTTTTACTTTCTATGTATTTATCATCAATTCTTTATCAAGCTTCCAATGAAACTATACAGTTTCTTCTTATTAGGTCATCTTTCAGCTCTAGTTTTTGTCCTTGAAGACATTCCTACTGGAGAAATCTATCTCCTTCATTCAGTCTGTGCTTATGTTTGCTCGGCCTGCTTCAGAGTGGTCTTGTGAATTTTCTTTGCCTCTTTGCCTTGTATCTAGGAGCTCATGACTATTTTTAATTGGTAAACCTCTTCCTTTATTCAGATAGCTTTCTGAGAAAAAAGCAAATTACAGACAAATATCTTTATTCTTACATTTGATTATATGTAGTCTTATGCAATGTTTCATTTATAAGATTATTATATATATATTTAACATTACTTTTATCTGCTTTCTGGATGGTCTTTGTTTTACCTAAGTTCAGCATTTTCTTTTTGTTTTGCCTTCATTCATGTGAGAGCTGTTCCTAAAATGTTTTATGATTCTGGACTCTCCTTTTCATATTTAAAAATGGGGCCCTATAAACGTGAATAGCAGCTCTGTACAGTGACTATGTTAGAGCCTAGTAGCTAGTTGGCTTTTTTGTTGGGCATCCTCCAAATGTCAGTAACTATAGGTCTTTTCTTTGGGACTTACCCAGGAGCTTCCACAGAGGCATCCTTTAGTCTTTCTGAAAGTTCTAAGTCTAGGTGGCAACACTCTAGGATTCGAGGTAGAATAGATGCTGATGCTGAGTCTCCTGGTACAGTGTGTACTCAGTCCCTGTGTTTTCAGTGCCTGGTGTCTTTAGGTCTGGAGCCAATCTGGCTTATTTTCCTCAGAGTAATCTTGCTTTTCATGCTGTGCTTTTGTGCTTGCTGTGCAGTCTAGAAGAGAGAAGTGCATAGCCTGACTGCTCAGAATAGGAAAAGAGATTTAAGGGCCTAGCTGTTCCTTATGTAGACTGTCAACCAGCTGGTTAGCAACCTCACCTTTACCATAGCCATTATTGCCTCAATTTCCAAGAAATTCTGAGGTGGCTTCTTGTTGGTGCCTCTGTTAGCAGTTACTTAGGTTTTAGCTTCCTCTGTTCTGAGTAGTCAGTTACCACTTGAATCTGCTTTTCATCTTTCCACACCTTTATACGTGTCTCTATTATCATCAGTTATTGTCCCCTCTCCTAGTCTTTTTTTCTTGATGGATTTAAAATATTTGCCTTTTTGTAATTTTAGTGGGATTTTAGGAGGGAGCATATATAAATGCATATATTCAATCCAGTGTAATTTGTTATAATTACATTCCCTTTGGAGGAATTTCTGGTTGGGTAAGTTATCAGCAGGGTAGAAATACATTTTAGAGGCATCTAGGATGAGAGAATAGACTTAAATTCTTCAAATTAGCAGCCAATTATTTTGAATATCTTTTCTGCTTATAATAGTTACTCTTTGTTCCAGGGAAGACACTGAAGAAATGTGTGTCTAAATAGTGGCCGTATTCAAGTGGGTGTCTAACTAGTTCACCTGAGCAATCTTTATTGTCTTTTTTATAGTGATTTTTACATATATTAGGTATATATTCATTTCATAATTGTGAGTTATTAAAAACTAAAAACTTATATCCTACTTATGCAATAATACTACTTATGCAATAATAGATAGGATGTACAGAAGAAAGGGAAAATGATCTAGTTTATGGGAGCCAGGGATATGAGTGTCAGAAATGCTTACCTGGATGGTTGTTATAGTTGAGCTTCATTTTGAAGGATAAACTTGAAGGAGTTTGCCAGACTTGGAGAAAGAAGGTGAAAGCAAGCCAAGCTGGGGAGAAAGGAAGGTACTCCATAGACTAGAAATAATATGGGTAACTTACTGTGACATTGCTTCATTGCTTATTCATTTTGTCTTAATATTTCAAATTTTATTAGTATGTTAGCCACAGTCTATAAAGATTATAAGAAAAAAATCTGTTTTAGTCAGTTTCTTTTCTTTTTACTGCCTAAATTCATGAAAAAATGCTTTCCTTTATTCTGCTTCACAATTTCTAATTATTTAATATATATTTTTTACTAGGCTATAAACTCTATGAGGGCTTTATTGATTTTCTTCACTAATATTTCCTAGTCCTTACACGTTTCTGGCACAGAGTGGATGCTCAATATTTATTTACTTGTCTGTACTTAACTGAATCATACTCATTCAGTTTTCTACTATTTTTAAGCTATTCTACCAAAGATTACTTATGATTTTCTAGTTAGCATTGTCTTTGGTCTCTTTTGAGTCCTGAAATTTGGTCTTTTTCTCTCATGGAACTCTTTGCCCTGTAAGTTTGAGATTTCATCCTTTTATTTTCCACCTATCTTTCTGATTGCATATATGCAAATTGCAAATCTATATTTCAGTGAAATTCAAACCTCTCTCTTGAGTTTCAAAAATATATCATTAAGTACCCATAAGTTGTTACCTCAAACACAATTCAAACTTAATATGCTCCAAACTAAATCTTCACCTTTCCCTGCAAACCTGCTCCTCCTAAAGTGCCCAGCTTGGTGAAGCCTCTCTTCCACCAGCCACCCAAGCAGAAATCTGGAATTCCTTTTTCTCCTTTCTTTTTCCCTTCAGTCACTGAGATCCATCAATTCTTCTTACTTCACATTTTATTTTTGATATTTGTTCTCCTTATCTCTATTCCTATAGCTACCATCGTATTTCAGTTTTTTTTATGGCAAGTTGGTTTTTAGACTTGCATCCTTTCTTGCCTGGACTTTCCAGGTTATCTCTGAGTTGTCAGTCTGCCTCCAATCTTGACTTGCCCCACCCTTTTGTCCTCCCTGCTGACAGTGGTCTTTCTTTTCTTTTTTTTTTTAAATTGAAGTATGGTTGATATATACAGTATTACAGTGGTTTCAACTATACATAATGATTCAACAGTTACATACATTATTAAATCCACACCCCAACTAGTGTAGTTACTATCTGCCAACATAGAAAAATGTTACAGAGCTATTGAGTATATTCTCTATGCTGTACTTTCATGCCCATGACAAATTTATATTATGATTGAGATTTTGTGCTTCTTAATCCCTTTCACCCATTTCATCCATCCCCCGCTCCCCCTCCCCCATGATAGCCACCAGTCACTTCTCCATGTCTGTAAATCTACTGTTATTTTGTTTGGTTTTCTTTTTAGATTCCACATATAAGTGAAATCATGTGGTATCTGTCTTTCTCTGCCTGGATTATTTCACTTGGCACAATACCCTGTAGATCCATCCATGTTGTTGAAAATGGCAGGATTTGTTTCTTTTTTATAGTTAAATAATATTCCATTGTATATATGTACCACATATTCTTTTTCCATTCATCTATTGATGGACACTTTTGTTCCTTCCATGTCTTGACTATTGTAAATAATGCAGCAGTAAACATGGTGTGCATGTATCTTTTTGAATCAGAGATTTTTTCTTCTTTGGCT